CTATATCGTCTTATCTTATTAACAGCGCGAATCTATTTAAATATAATGTTAAGATAAAAAACTATAAAATAGAGCAAGCTAAGTATAAGATAGAGTAGGTTAAGCTATACAAGATAGTTCTCTCTATCTAGATAACTATAGCCTACCTACTCTAGTACTCTTACTATATCTAGAGATAGCTACTTAGAGAGTAGATTAAGAAACTACGCGCTAAATTATAGGTTATAAATAACTATATCCTCTCTACGATACTTTCTTTATGGTAATAATTCCTACATAATATAATAGACAGCTTCTTTTCGAGGTTATATAACTTATTACGTGCTAGGTTTATACTTTGCTAATTACTTTTTACTAACTTTACAAGGCTCTCTTGCAAGCTATAAAAGCCTCTGGAGAGCTACAGTTAGGAATAGGCTAGAAGAGAGGAACCATAAAATAGTATGTTCAAAAGCAGGCGTAAAGTCAAACCCCTTCATGCGGTTCATGACCTCAAACTGAGCATTAGGTAGCATCTTTTTTTTAATCTATACTCCTAGAGCATTAAAAAAGAGTAATTAATGAAGGATAGCTATATATCAATGTGTAACTAGCTCTAGTATTGTATTTGCTCTAGTAAGTCTAACTTCAATGAGAATGTAGGACATTTTCAGGCTACCAAATACTGGGTTTGGCATTGCGCAATAGAAAGGAGTCTTACGTTATTCACTATGCTAGAAAATGCGCGATACAAGGGATTGTTTTGCAATTTTACGCGAGACGTAAAGCGTAAATGAAGGAGCTTCCATTTAACCTTTAATAGGTTAACCTGCTTACTTAGGTTTAAGCGCAATCGCCTATGTAGGAGGGTATGTAACTGGCGATCCTTCATCTAATCATTTATAGGTTACTGTCCATGGCTAAATTATAATTTTTGTAGGAGATATAGAACTCTCATAGTCTCAGAGTTTAGTTTTGAGAATAGTATGTTACACCGTATCGCCATCATTTCCTCACTTTCCATTAGTCAGAGCCCTTCGACATCTCTATATTTGGTCCGCTAAAAGCAGCCTATCAAGATCACGTGCAAAGTCTAGGGCGTAGAGGCGTAGGAACGATTAGAAAAGGACACTTTGCATATCATACAGTCCAGCAAAGGAGCGTACTTTCACGTTGCAGAATATACGATCTGAGCCAGGGAGGCTGACGGCCTAGATAATACAAAATCTCTCATCCAGTCCTTAGGATGAAACCCACGCGATAGGGCAACACCGAGTCCGCAGCCATGATCCAATGACAAGCCTGGGTATGCAAGGCGCACGCTTCTGACGCACTAGCGTCACGCTAGTGCTATTGATAAGCGGACAGGCCACCCTACGCACATATCTCCCTACTGTACGGAGTACTGTAGTATCAATCTACCTTTTAGGAATCGACCCACATTCAACCCACAGTCGTGCCTTGACAGCTCAGGATTCATCTGAATGTTGTTCTAATGTAATCGCTTCTACCTGCCAAGCGTCTTATACGAACCTCCCCTTGTCTTATTTTCTGTAACGCCTAAGTCGGCCCGAGTCACAATAACCTGACACACCCGCTTTACTGCTGTAAAGAGGTGGCATGAATGAAATCAAACTGCTCGGCGAATCTTCCACCTAGATCGACCATTTTTTGGACAAAATATGCGCTCTGCATAGCCCTATATCGGGGATGCGTTCATCTCACTTCCTTTTAAGTTTTAAGAATGTCTCAGGCAGAACAATGCAAACAACAAGATATGAGAAGAACGCACTAGTTTTGCTCCTGTTAAGATAATACAATAAGTATATAAAAGCTTAGGTTTGTAGTCACTCTCTAAAGCCTGGAATTCAGTCTACATGAACACTCCTTCATTGTTCCCATTCTAACAGGCTTCCCAAATGTTTTGTACTTCGCTTCTTGCCCTCATTACTTTCGCCATTTCGGCGGCTTGCCATTCTATCCCCGCAAACATAGGAGAAGATATTGCGCTGCTGGCAGGCAATCACCGCTTGATCTCGAAAAGGGCATTGTCATCCTTTGCTGTTGTCGTCCCTCCCAGTGCCCTGGGCTGTTCTGATACTCAAATATCTCAAATAACAAGCGCTATTGACGACGCCAAGGCTCTTGCTAGGGCGGCTTCTAACGCCTTGGGCATTACCGGCAGCGAAAATTCTTTAGCCTATCAAGCATTCTTTGGAAGAGGTAGTTATATCAATATCCTCCTCTGTTAATCTATATCACTGACCGACTCTCTACATAGGAAACGCTAATTCCGCGACTAGACTCGCCATTAAATTGAACAATTATGATGCACTGATTTCGACCCTAGCACCAGCCACTCAACAGGTTGACGCTGTTAAATCGGACAATCTTGACCCAATTGGCCTCACCTACGCTTGCGCCGCTGGGACTGTATTGTGCCCGGGAGGGGTGATAGCGTCCGCTTACCAAAACGGAGCGAACGCTCTTTCAGGAAATATTATATTTCTTTGTCCAGAGTTTTTTGAATTAAATGACCAGCCTACAATGGTGTCAGCTTGGAACCAAGAAAGGTTTTTGCCCTCTCAGGGCTTCGTCATGTTGCACGAGGTTCAGCATCTTTCTGCTATTGTGGGTGAAGCTAGACGATGCAACGACGAATGCTATGATATCTCATGGTCAGTCACACCAATTTGCTTCTTTGGACACGTGCTAAATGACTGTAGCTGTCTAGCGCTGCCTGACGCCCAGAAAATCACCAACGCCGAGAATATGGCCTATTTCGCTGCTCAAATCCTAGCTGAACCGACGACTGGGAACCCCACATCCGACAGCAGCTGTGGTACACAGAAACGTTCTAGAATAATAGCCAGCGCTGACGATTACTACGCGAGGCTCCGAGGGCGCCATGACCACTTACCGTCAGGCTTTATTAAAAGACAAGGAGGAAATATCAAGGCATCATCCACGGCGAGGCCAGCAAATAGCAGCTCAGTGGTTGTAACACAGTCAAGCTCGCCTACCCCGCCCAG